CCTCTCTCTCTCTCTCTCTCTATTCACAACAGAGTATTATTATTTTTAAATTGAAATGTAATCATTCTTCCTTTGCGCTTGCAGCGGCATTCTCTCCCTGGTGGAGGGCCCCAGTTGCAATGATGACTCCGCAGTGCCGGCGATGTCGCCCACACCTTGGCGCGTGCAGCTGTTGGGCGAGAAATCTACTGCATTTGTTCTGGGCCTTCTGAACATGGCGCCACCCACAAAAAAAAAAAACGTCCGCATCCCTCATTTGCTCGGCAACAGTTTTTATAATTCAAAATCTGGTTGCAGTGCGGAGCTGCCTGTGTTTCGGGGTATTAGACGCTGACATCCGCAGGGGAACTCGGCTTCGTCTGCGATGACGCGGGACGCGCAGCTTCCCAGGAATGCGTATATAGTCCCGTACTGGACCCTGGCGCCACGCTGCGGTATTTCCATTTTGCGCCAGGCAATTGCAAAATTAAGAGGGTTATCCGGCGATTTTGCCCACGACAGAAGCCTTTGGAGGCGATGTTTTTGCCACTGAACTGTAAATGCCATTGAGATCTATCTGCCTATGCAAAAAAAAAAAAAGAATCTATATTTTTATATATGCGCGTGGGTGTTCATGTATGCCTTTGTGTGTTTTTGCCGACACTGGCGTTACTCTCAATTGTGCACCATTCCTCTTCAGCTCGTGGGCACGACTGCTGGCGGGCGCAGAAACACAGTGGTATGACCTCTATGGCGCTTTCGTGAGTTCGTCTGTGGCGTTTGCTTGTCGTGACCGCGGTAATTTTGGTCATGCCCGTTCTGTAAAAGCAAAATTTCAACCGCTGCGCCCACTTTCATGTCAGTTCTCAATTGCGAACAATCAAAAAGGGGAAAATAAAATAAAATAAAGGAGAGGAGTAACTGGAATAAGTGGGACACGACTTGCATCGGGAGAAAAGACCTACCAGCTGTGAGTGGGGACGGTAGGCAGGCTGTCGTACTCCTTTTGACTCTGAAGCCGCGCTCGCTGCGCGCCTGGGGCTTGGCTGCCGTGTTTGGGGGGCCGCCTTCCGTCTTCCATGAAAACTGAAAGGGTTGGCCTGTTTTCGCGTCATTGCTTTCGTCACCGGGGCCACATGGCGCAGCCGGGGGGCTGGGCAGCAGTGGAGGACATTGTGGCGTCACAGGCAGTCGCCGCCATGGAGGATCTTGCGAGGGAGTACATGGCGTGCTTTGGCGTGGGCCACGTGACGCCACACATCATGAAATGCCTCATGGAAGTTGTATGCCCCGAAGCCATGGACGACGCGAAGGTGGCCGCTATTGATGAGATGAAGTCCCTTCATCTCGGCGCGCAGCCGAAGCAGGCGGCTTATCTGCTACGCACGCTCTTGAGCCCCAGAGCTGCGGGCGTGAGAGATGTTGTCTCGCGCTGTGCCGCGGAGCGCCGTCGGCTCACGCTCCAGATGGCGCGGATTTCCCCACCGACGCCGTCAGCGCGGCTGGAAGTGCTGCCGCAAGTGAACAAGATTGGGGCGGAGGAGGGGGCTCGTGCCGTAGGAGGAGTTCTTGAATCGCGGGAGTTGCTCTGTGCGTTTGCTCAGCGGGCTCAGCCTCTAGAGACTGAGCTGCGTCACGCCCGATCCCAGTGCGGGTTGGTGGACGAGATGCGCTCGTCGGGGCTCGGGCTAGTTGTGGATGCCACCGCAGCCGTCGCTGCGACGGACAGTGCGGACCCCACGGGCGGCTATGCCCCGTCAAGAGATTTTGTGCTTCAGGCGGCGCGGCAACTCTTCGCGGAGTCACTTGCCTCCCGTGCGACGGAAGTGAATAGCGGTCGGCGTGACGAAAGGCAAAAGACGCTCCCACCGCAGGAAAGCTTGCATGAAAAAGGAGAGGCACGCCTGGGAGAGGTTGCTCCGGCGACGCGAAAAACCGCACATGACGCGCCACCGCTTATGGGCTTCTCTCTCACGTCCCCGAAGCCAGTTCCTTTTCAGAACTCTGAGGACCATGCGGGGAGGGAGTTTTGCGACGTGCTTCCCCCAACGACAGAGGCGATTTCTGCACAGGCCCTCTCTGCTCTGCTGGCGGACAAGCGTCCATGGCGCGTTCAAGAGGAGGAGCGCATGTCACAGGAAAGAGCCTGGAGCCCGCTTGGCAAGAACCGACTTGCATACGCGGAGATGCCGACAGGCCCCTCGGCGTACACGCGCCAGTCGGGGGTGCGCCATGTGCTACGCCTGGAGCAGCAAACCTCGCGCCTGTTATGGTCGTGATAGCAGAGGGACACAACAAAGGGCACCTTCTCTCTCCAGAGCAGTGAGCGCAGTGTGTGGTGGAGAAACGACGAGTGGTGCCGTTTCTTCTTTTTTTCAATATCGAATTATGTATATACACACACACGCGAGAAATGCGGGATTGGTTTGGCCTATTCCACACCACACATTCCTTCTCCTGTTTGCTGCTGCGGGGCGGGAGTAGGAGCTACGATGCCGCGCCTCTTTCTATACCGAAGTTTCTGTGCTTTATTAGCGTCTTGCCTTTTCCGTATTTTCTATTTCAAGGCGATAAGCTGGTGCCTCTTGCCGTGGCATAATTTTGTTTTTATCATTTTTGTTTTTCTAGTTCTTCCGTTTGTATATATATATATATATATATGTGTGTGTGTGTGTTTGTTCGGGCGTTGTTTGGGGGGGAGGGGCGATACCTGACAAAAACTGATGGCAACCCAGCTGGGGGTTCGTTTCTACCATGCCTTCACGAAACGGAGTCCTGAGCGTGTCATTGCGTTGCGTATTCCGCCGGGTTACAAGGTCCTCTCGCCGGCGGTGTTCGGGCGCATGGAGCCACCAGCGCCCTCCACCACGGCCAACCTGCGTAGCGGGGTGGCGCGTGGTTCGTCGTCCGCCGCTTTCCGGGCAGTTGCTCGGCTCCCTCGTTGCAGCGTGCGCGGGCGATCAAGAGCGCAACTGCGTCGTCCGTCATGGCGGCGGAGAATGCTTCACCCTCGTGCCACGCCACAGGCATTCGCCCCCGGACACCCCCGCAGGAGAAAGTCCTGCGTGGCGTGAGGAGTGGGCCGCTGGCAGTGATGGACCGAGCCGATAGTCTCCTCGAGGAGGCCCCGGCTGTGAAGATGCACCACCGGCCATGAGTGACGTGGGCCATTGACTTGCCCCCGCCGCATGGTAGTTTCTGTTTTCTTTTTGGCGCTTCTCGCGCCCCCAACCCCGCTGTGTTATCTGCACTTTACCGGTGACACGGGTCGTTGGCGTCTACGTTATTATAAACTGGCCCGAGAGAGCGGCTTTTTTTTTGTGTGTGTGTTTCCGGTTGGTTGTGGTGGGTTGAGTGACTGAGTCGGGAGATGGCATTTCTTTATTATTATCATCATTTTCTTCTTTTGCGTTGTTTATTTGGAGGTTATTAATTTGTTATTTGTGTTTCTGTTTTTGTTTTTGTTTTGTCTTGCCGTAGATTTGCCTTCATCAACGATGTGGCGGCAGACGTTGACGCGCCGCATGCAGTACGGCTCCACGCCAAAAGAAATCCGCTACTCCATGGAGGCCCGCAAGGCGCTGCTGCTCGGCGTCGAAAACCTCGTGAAGGCGGTGGGCGTGACACTTGGGCCGAAGGGGCGGAACGTCGTGCTCGAGATGCCGTACGCAAGCCCGAAGATCACAAAGGACGGCGTGACGGTCGCGAAGCACATTGAGTTTGAGAATAGTTTCGAGAATTTGGGCGCCAACCTTGTCCGACAGGTGGCCGGCCTAACGAACGACAACGCGGGCGACGGCACGACCACAGCCACCATTCTCTCCGGCGCCATATTCCGCGAGGGCTACCGCAGCGTTGCGACCGGCACCAACCCGATGGACCTCAAGCGGGGCATTGACCTTGCCTGCCGCGAGGTGCTCGCCTCCCTCGCGGAGCAGGCGAAGCCGGTGACCTCCAAGTCAGAGGTTACACAGGTGGCGATGATATCCGCTAACATGGATAACGAAATCGGCGCCCTGATTGGCGACGCCATGCAGCAGGTTGGTAAGGATGGCGTTATCACCACACAGGAGGGTCGCTCACTCCACACGGAGCTCGAGCTTGTCGAGGGCATGTCCTTTGAGCGAGGTTATACCTCACCCTACTTTGTGACAAATACCAAATCACAGAAGTGTGAGTTAGATAATGCATTGGTATTTGTGGCAAATCGCAAACTCTCCAGTGTGGCACATATCCTTCCAGCGTTGAACTACGCCATTCAGCAAAAACGGCCGCTGTTGGTTATTTCGGAGGATCTAGATGGGGAGGCAATGCACACACTTCTGTACAACAAGATGCAAGGCCGAATTTCTGGATGTGCGGTGAAGGCGCCTGGCTTCGGTGACATGCGTATCAATCAACTGCAGGATATTGCTGTCTTTACCGGGGCGCAGATGGTGTCAGAAGACTTGGGGCTCAGCCTTGACCACAACGATTTCTCAGATCGCCTGCTTGGGTCGTGCAAGAAGGCGACGATCTCTCGCGATGAGTGTATTCTCATGGAGGGTGGCGGTAGCGCCATTGCCGTGGAGGAGCGAGTGCAAATGATTCGGGACATGATTGCTGCCGAGGATCATGAGTACAACCGCGAGCGACTCGTTGAGCGGCTGGCGAAGCTCTCGGGCGGTGTTGCCGTTGTCAAGGTCGGGGGCGCCTCCGAGGTGGAAATCAATGAGAAAAAAGATCGCATTGTCGACGCCCTGAACGCCACACGCGCTGCCGTGGCGGAGGGCGTCTTGGCCGGCGGTGGCACGGCGCTTCTTATCGCCTCTGTGCGGCTGGACGCAATCTCCAAGGACCGTCGCCTTCCGGGGGATATCCGCACCGGCGTCAACATTGTGAAGAAGGCGATACGGTTGCCGTGTCGTTGCATCGCGGACAACGCCGGGGTGGAGGGCAGCGTGGTTGTGGGCAAGATCATGAAGTTGAACGACCCTTCCTTTGGCTACAATGCCCAGACGGGCGAGTACGTTGACATGTTTGCCGCCGGTATTATTGACCCGATGAAAGTGGTCAAGTCGGCGGTGGTGAACGCGTGCTCCGTGGCAGGGATGATGATTACAACGGAGGCCGCGGTTGTGGAAAAGGACATGTTTGCGAAGGAGAAGCGGGTGGAGGACAGAGGCATTGAGGACAAGGAGAAGATGGAGGGACTAAGCACCATGCGCAAGCGCGTCAATGAGTCACAGGCGCCGCTGCCGGCGCTTTCGCCGCCGATGAAGTTCCCGATGAAGGGGATTTGAGCGGCAGGGCCGACAGATGAGCCCCAAGTGTGTGTGTGTGTGCGTGTTATCGGCTCCTCCGCTGCTACCTTCATTGACGGCTCTGGGCTCGCCGCAGTCACGAGAGGGGATGCCCATGCCGGGGTGAATGCAGGAAGTAATGGAGGGAGGGAAAAGGGGGGGCCAAACCCCCAAAACAAAGGGAAGCAAAAACAAAAAAAACAACAAAGAAACGCATGGGGTCCTTTGCTGTTCAACACATCGCTCACGCGTATTCGCAATGCCTCCCAAAGCTGCGTCCAGCTTTCCTCAAGGGAGTTGTCTGGGAGGAAAGAGATGTGCGATGCCCTTCGTTTTTTTACTTTATTTTCTCTTTTTGCGGCACAGGGAGGTGTCTGTGTACATGTTGTTGCTGCTGCTGCTGCTGCTGCCGCCGCCGCCGCCGTTACTAGCAGCAGCGGCGCTGTTGCTCCCGCCTTCACAGCTGCAGTGGGTTCCAACCACCCGTGCGAAAAAAGAGGGACATGCGTGCGTGCATAAATGCACAAGAGTGGAGTTTCAATTTGCCCTTCTTCTTCCCTCTTGGCCGCTGGAGCTGCCGACCACATCTGCTTCTTTTCTTTGTGCCCTTTTTTACTATGCCCTACTTCTCTCGTATTTCGCTTAGGAATTTGGCTTTTGTCTTGTATTCGCCGCCCCCTTGCGCTTGTGCTGCAGAATAGAAGTGGGTCGGCCTTAGTCTTTACACGAAACTACTTGAAAGGAACGGAGAGTGTGGCAGTTGTTTGAAGCAGAGACAAAAATAGCTAGTTCTGCATTCTGTGTGAGGGTGTGTGCTTCGTATTTTTCATATACATACGCATATACCGACACAGACGTACATTTATATATATACATATATATAAATGGCTTTGAAAATAAAGAAGGTAGTGGATAACAAACCGGATGAGACCCGAAAGCCCGTAAAACTCATTCTTCTTGGCGACAGTGCGGTGGGGAAATCGAAGCTGGTGGAGCGCTTCTTGATGCAGCGTTATATTCCAGTTCAAATGTCAACATACGCCCTGACACTCTACCGCTACGACTTCATCAGCGGGGATGATGAGGCGATAGATGTTGATATTTGGGATACAGCAGGGCAGGAGCGCTTTTCAACGATGCATCCCGCGTACTATCATGAGGCCCATGCATGCATTTTGGTATTTGACGTGACACGGAAGGCAACTTATAAAAATCTGGAGAAGTGGCTTAGTGAGCTGCGCAATTACCGGGAGCATATTCCCTGCATTGTGGCATGTAATAAGATAGACACCGACCCGTCTGTGATGTCCAAGGCATTCGCGTTTGTAGAGAAGCACAACCTGACGTTACACTACGTCTCCGCTGCGGACGGCACCAATGTCGTGCAGCTCTTTGAGGCGGCGATTACAGAGGCGGTGAGGTACAAGAAGAGTCCGAAGAGCGAGGATTTCATGACGCAGGTGCTCGGATTTATAAAGGAAGGAGAACGCAAGGAAGAGGCGGCAACGGCGGTCCCCCCAGGCACCACTGCTGATTAATATAAAAATTCTGTCTGGTGGCGGCGAGAAGAGAGGTAGTTCAATGCTTTAATTCACTGTCCTTTCTGCCGCCGTTGACATTTCTTTATTTTTCCCAATTGGCTTTTTCCTTTTTTTTTTATCTTTCTCTCTTCCTGTGTATAATTATTTTATCTTTTTCTTTCGGATGGGGCCTTGTGGGATTCTGGTCCTTTTTTACTTTCGGGTGGATGTGGGTGATGGAGCCCGATTGCTGACGTTGTGTGGTTGTTGTTGTTGTCCAGGGATACGCGCGGCCGGAGGACGCACCGCCGGCCCTGGCGCTCACGGCCGCGTTGGTCGGCGCTGCTGCTGCCACGCGGGCTGCGCAGTGCGTGCGGTTTCTCACCCGGCCGCGCGTTGAGGCACGGCGGGGGGAGGAGGGGCGGCAGCGCCCCGCGGCCTCTGTCCTGTTTGCTGCTGGGTGCCTGTGTGCGCGAGGGCGGTTGCTGCGTCGAGCCGGAGCGGGCGGAACAAGTGGGAAGAGGAGGCGAGATTTAGGGGGGAAAACGAATAAACCGCAACACCAACGAAAAAAGAAATAGGAAAAAAAAAAAGAAACTGACCGGAAGAAGGATGAAAATGTACAAAGCAAAACAAAGAGAAAACGGCGTACATAAACACACAAAGTCACGAAAAAAATGTCGGGGTTTGCCAGCAGGTGGTGAAGGAAAAAATTTTTTGGCCTGCGTGTGTGGGTGGGTGTATTTATGTGAAAAGGGGAAATGGCGCGGAGCGAGGGGAGAGCATTTGACAGCTTTGTGCGTTCTTTCCGTTGAGGCTTGGTAACTGTTTAACTGTGCGCCTTGCATGGAGAACCTGAGCGTGGGACAGGGTGGGGAGGAGGAGGAGGAGGGAACTTGTTTTCTCTTTTCGTTTCTCGATCGTCGTGCGATGACGCAGGCGTCGAAGCACAAAGCGGCCCGCCGGTGTCGACTGCGATGTGTGGCCTTTCCCGCCCTGTGCGCGCACGTACACATACGCGCAGAAAAAAGCAAAAAGGCGACATGGTCCTGGCTGCGGGCGACGCCTATACTTCACGGTGCCGCACTTCAACAAAGTGGAGTGGGGCTCTGCGGTGTGGGGGTGTGGCGTGCAGCTTTTTTGTAAAAAAAAAAAAGCGGCGTCTCGCCAATTTTTCTCTGTGTTTTTTTTTCGTTTTTGTCCTTGTTGCTGGTGCTCTTCGCTCAGCGGCCCGCACTCCGGGCGAGGGAACACCAGCTGCCAAGAGGCTGCACAACAGATACTTGGAGGCCGAAGTCGTGGCCACCACGATCTTTTTATTGTTCCACTCCCACTTTTTTTTTCCTTTATTTCCTCCACTCGTCAAAAGCCTTGGAAGGTGGACGATTTTTGCTGCACCGGGATTTGAGGAAAACGTTGGGAAAGGGAGATCTTGTACGCGTTTAAACTAACAAGTGTGGAATTGCAACAACACGCAGAGGAATGAGCTTCAGCATTCCGCCGCTGCCGTGGGGCTACGACGGGCTCGCCGCAAAAGGCATTTCAAAGGAGCAGGTGACGTTTCACTACGACAAGCACCATCAGGGGTACGTGACGAAGCTCAACGCGGCGGCGCAGACAAACGCGGCGCTCGCGCGGAAGACCATCGAGGAGATCATCAAGACAGAAAAAGGCCCCGTGTTCAACCTTGCGGCACAGATCTTCAATCACACTTTCTACTGGGAGAGCATGTGCCCTAATGGAGGCGGCGAGCCGACGGGCAAGGTTGCCGACGAGATCAAGGCTTCCTTCGGCAGCTTTGCGAAGTTTAAGGAGGAGTTTACAAATGCGGCTGTGGGCCACTTTGGCTCGGGCTGGGCGTGGCTCGTGAAGGACACCGCCTCCGGCAAACTGAAGGTTTACCAGACGCACGACGCGGGGTGCCCGCTGACTGAGCCCACCCTGAAGCC